GTAAAAATCCTTAGCTATAAAGCAGGGTGGATTTGATTTAAATCATGATTTAAGCACTAGCCTTTAAGATTAGATTTAAATCATGATTTTCTACATAATTTGCACACATGCCTGCCTTACCTGTGGGTAGAGGAACTTGATTAAAATATTCCCAAACAGGGTCTGTTTTATGGCCTGCTGCCATTATAGGTTTTTTTCCTCCAGGAAAAGAATAATATGATAAACCACAGGCTATACACAAAAAGATCCAAAAACTTGTGAAATATTCTGTTCAAAAGGTTTCACCTTCATTTTTACTGTTTGCCCCTCCTCCTCTTAGCTTCTTCACTCAGTTTTTTGAACCTTAGCACTTAAGAGGTAAGGGCTTGATTCTGTATATTTGCAAAGGAACCATGAGATTAAGGTCTTTTTCTCAACTCTGTATGTTTCTTTTATAACATATTTACTGTGAAGAAGAACCATGTGATCTCTTCAGACACATATTCACAGTTTTGAGAATGATAAAACCAACCATCTGTGAAAATAACTTCTGGATAGAAAAATTGCCCGATAATCTTACAGAACCCACTGGAAGAGCATGAGTATGTGAATGGATTAATGGAATTAATTTATCTAAAATTTAAACTTTGCATGAACATACAGCCTCAAGCTACATAGTTAAAAGCCAATCCAACTATCTTAAATAACAAACTAGATAGATTTTTCCTCAAAAAGCATTTTATTTTTTTAAAAATCCAATTTAAATCAAGTAAATCCAATTTAATTAAAAATAGGACTACAGTTAAGTATACAGGATCAAGATTCTTTAGTTCCTACAGAAAATTAAAATGATATAATTAAATAAAGTGGAAGTAAAAGATAAATAATAAAATAACTAATTAAATAAAAATGTACATGCATAGTTGTCTTTAAACCTTCCATTCTAGAGGCATGCATGCACTTAAGTGTGCAATGTAGGAGATATTTCAAGGCACATTGGGAAACCATCATTATTTGTTTTTCAGCACCAGGCTAAGACCTTTTTATTTCAACAATATTTTAATAAATTTTAATATCAGCGTATAGGTTTTAATCTGCAGCCAGGGTGGATCTGGATTATATGTATATTATGTTTTATTTTATTTTAGGTAAGCCATCCTGAGGCTATGCGATGGGACTGGCATACAAATACTCTAAATAAACAAACAAACTGTTAAACTAAATTTACATCCACTTAACTTTTATTTTTGAATATTCCAGAGCAGGACAGCTCCATCTATGGAACTGAATGGGGACAGCCTTTCAAGTCATTTGATTTGATCTGATCTGATCTGATCTGTAATCTGCCCCAATAGCGCTATGACTTCCTTCTGTTAGGCTCTTCAAAGTTCCATTCAAAGCCTCTGGATCCACAAGAGGAAGAGGGCAAAAAAGAATAACATCTACTGAGAAACTAACTGCTTGTTTAAACTTCAATGGAAAAGAAAAGTCAAACCCAATTTACTCTGTTTTGTTAATTGGGGGCAGCACTAGCAGCCCCCTAAAGTTTCCATTGGAATCCACAGCTGGGCAAAGATTTGTCTCTGCTGTTGAGCCTCTGGTGAATAGCAAAAAGGCACTTTGCCAGTATTCCTGGGCAGGCAGACAGTCCCATTTCAGCTGTATTTGAACACATGGTGTACATGCAGTGGAAGAGAAAGCCAGTAGCTATGAATAACAATTAGTCAACTTCTTCATATTATGGCAAATTTATCTGACAGGAGAATGTTTCTCAGTTACAGACTGAATTCATGTTTGTGGTTTATTTTAATCTGTCTTTTAGTTATGTGATGTTACTGTGCTACCTCTGACAGGGTTGTTCCATCCTGTATATGCAAATTCATCTGCATGTAAAAACACAAAGGGCACACCAGTAGTTTGTTTGAAGGAGAGAACATATGTTAGAGAGTACAAGTACTTTGAACAATTTTAATTAGAAAATTTAATTGTGATGCTTTTAGATTCCTAAATCAACTCTTGAATATTTTTGGCAAACATTTTTTATCTGACTTACTGCTTTACTTTTAGAAGAAGGTTGAAAGATGGCTAAGCCACCAAAAAGAACTGATTGTGCAAAAAGATTATTCCTGGGGGAAAAGCAGTTTTTTTAAAAAGAAATTACTGGCTGTGCAGCTGAACATCAGACTTACAGTAAATAACATGCATTTATAAAAGATGACTGGAGTTAGAGTTGGCTTATTTAGTCTAGACGGTATTTTTCCTGCCAAACGTTACTTCTCTCAGTTCTGCCTGTCATAATTGTTTGATAAAGACTGTCCAAGAATTCATCATATTAAGACAAATTTCCCGAGCCCTTGAGTGAGTGGTATTTGGGTTTACCCTACAATCTTTAATTATATTAAATTGATAACAGTGGCATTGCTGCACATCAGTATAAGTCTTCATGCAGCACAGAAGTTCATAATATTTTCAGCCCAGGGTCCCCATTGAGTGCCTGCTCAGATGGCAGAGATTCACAGGGCACGTTTATACACATTCACATGCAACATCTCTCCTCCCTCTGTCTCTCTCCTTTTCTCATATACCCACACTCACACACCTTTCTGGAGCCAAATAAAGACAAGAAAAACGGGGTGAGGGGAACAGTAATGCTCTCAGAATGGACTCTGGTTCTCGCCGTAGTATCCTAGGAAGCAGGTGCGAGCCTTCAAGCATTGCTTTCTATAATGCTCTGGAGATGCGCTAGAAACAAGTCTTCTGTGGCTAGAGCTGTAGAGTCACTTCCTAGGGCAAATTTCTGTTTTTCCCTGGGGATCAACCTGACAGAGCTTGTAGAACCGCAGGCCGCACCCCCTCCCCCGCAACTTTCATCCTGCCTTTTTCCTACAAAGGGCTCAAGGCAGCTTACATCATTCTCCTCCTCCATCTTATCCACTGCTAGTGAAGAGGCTACAAGTATGTTATCCTTTTTGGTCCACTGTGTATTATTTCCCTACTGCTGGGCTCATTTATTGCATATAATATTGCAATAGTACCTGCATGTGTAAGTTTTGAAATCTGCCCTGTGCTCTTACCACATGTGCAGAAGTGGGCCACACTTATGGTGGGTATTGATTTTAAAGAGAGGATTGAGAGACTCTGGTCACATTTGCACATAACAATAAGCTAGGATTCCTGGTTTTCTTAGAACAAGCAGTATGCTGATGTACACAAGCTGTTTACTTCTACTTTGTTTCTCCCAGTCATTTGAATGTGTAAGCAAACCAGAAATTGCTAGCTTTGTGTTAGCTTTAAATTTGGTATAGAACAACATACCAAAATTCATTTCAGGTTTCCTATTTGCATGATATGATGGCGCAGAGGAGGAACCTTGCTCATTCACAGTATTCTAGGATAAATCAGCTGGGGGAGTGTGAGAAGGGGGGGATTGTGGTGAATAGATAAAATACAGTATTCCCCATTCCATGGTCAATGTTAATGGTGATAATCAGAAAAAAGATGAGAAGCTCATCCTGTTAATGATTGGTTACTGAAGGGAGTGTAGTCTTCCAGTTTGCAAGTTTTGCTTTGTCTTTTCATTAGAATCCTGAGATCCATCAAATGAAACTGATGCAATAGATACATATATAAAATTTTAAGCATTCTAAGCCCAGGAATTTGTTTTTAGTATGAGAACTTAATGGAGCCCACTGTACTTCCATGCAGAAATAAGTTTCTGGTTATGCACAAGCTTTCTTCATCTTAGCAGGACAATTTAAAAGGAGGGGAGGGGAAAAAGATTTTTTGTAGCTGCTGTTGTTCAATGGTTGAAATAGGAAAACCTTCCCGATCTGTTGTAAATCACCTAGTGAATTATTAGATCTGGCTTCTGCCCACCCCTGCCTTACTGTGTGTTTCTGACTACTAAAACTCCACATTTGATGGTTGTGTCCATACAGGGGAACTGATTTGTTGTAGACTTTGACCATATGGACAACCGAGTACAAACAACTGACCACAACTGGAAGTAAGAGGAATTATCTTAATAGAAATACTCAGTAAATTGAATTATTGTATCCTTGAAGAAGGTTTATATTGTAATGTATTGGGCTTTTCAAAGTATTAAAGTTTGATTATCATTACAACCTCTCTCCTGCCCTGCCTCCAGCCCAGTACTGTTTTGAAGCCTTCCTCTCTCTTTTGATCTTTGCTGCTTCATATGGCAATTTCGTGTGCATAACCGTGGAGAGATCTATGCATGCTTTGGCAAAATGGTGAACTAAACGTTATCAGGTTATCAGTCTCTCACTGTTACTAGAATGGAGGATATATGATGGTGCTTAGCTAATTCTGTGGTCTGTATGGTGAAAGAACTGTGATTTCATGGGTTGCTTATGGTTATATTACAGGTTCACTTGGTTGCTTAAATTGTTGGATATTGGCTCCATAGGGTCAGCACGAGCTCATTGAAGGTTAATTGAATCAGTCCTAAACTACTACTACCACCACTACTACTACTTTTTACTACTACTACTCCTATTGTTACACTGTGTATTTTGGCTATCATACACATTCCACAGTAGTTTCATTTGTCACAGGGACAATTCTGAGTCTGAAGACATTTGTAACTCATTTGGTATGTATATTGTTCCAGTTAACTAATCTTATGGAACAGTCTCTTCAATCTGGATCCTTCTCTCATATAATAAACTGTGAGGTGCTGAAACCAGGGAGAATACAATGAGAAATGAGTGATGTAAGTAAAAGTCCAGGGTTCAGAGGCAGAAGTACTTGGAAACATCCTGTTTTCCTAGGAAGTTCAGCATACGCATAGTGTAGTATATCCCTCTTTTTGGAGACAATGGGTACCATGCATGTGCCAAGTTTTCAAGTTTTGGAAGTTTCTTCGTACTTTAAGATGTTACCATGATCCTATAGGTAGTAGTATTTCTCCATTTTGGGATACATATCATTTCTGGATAAATTATACTTAATGACAGTAACACATTTTCCAATTTTTCTGTTTTTGTTTCTTCAAACAGAATGATACCGCTTTCTTCTCAAACTGTGATGATGAATGTGCATCATGGCCAAACACAGCAATATGTTATCAAGCCCAAGTACTATCCAACAAAGAAAGTTATTTCAGGAGAACAATCTACAGAGAGTTCATTGCCTTTAAGAATGAATCAGGATCAGCTTACATCACCTCTCCAGTGTAAGTATTATTGAAAAGCAGTAAAATCTGACTGTCATCAAGAAGTACAGAAAGAAACCAGGGGGCAGTCAAAAGGTGAACTCATTGCAATACTGTGTAATGTATATCCATACATTGGCCAGATAATTGCTTATTTGGGTTGTGATAGACCAACATATTTACAAAAATGATCAGTGTCAGTCTGGGCTTTGGAAGAGGTAGCCCTGGAAACTGATTTAGAATAGATGCAAATCTGAGTGGTGCTCTTGCCCTGCTGTTAGTTGTGGAATGAGATACTGCAGAATGGTGTCCACAGTGCTATCAGATTCATCATATAAGTACATGAAACATTGTCCAGAAAGTCCAATACGATCACATTTTCATTTAAAAAAACATATATATGTACACACAACTCTTTCTATCTAAACATGCATAGGGTTTCACCTTAATTGTATAATTCAGCTGCTGAACACAGATAAGGGAATTTTGTACTGTGGGAAGAGCATTTGGGAACTAGGAAAGAACCTGGTGGATTGTATTGAGCTTGTAGGCCATCTTTCCGTATCTCTGGTTTAAAGTGTTTTAGATCTATTTGATCCAAAACATTTGCCATTTAATTGTCCTTTGTAAATCATTGCTAATGATTAATGCTTATATGCCATAATATTCTCACAGAATCTATAGTTGAATTTGATATCAGAATTTGGATTTTGCAGACAGTGCTAGTTACTAGGTAAGAAAAGTTCAGCATCATTTGTCCATCATGAGATGTGGGTGCTTGAGATGTGAATGCATTAAACATTATGAGCAAGAGATTTATAAATTCTTGTCTACAGTTGTTTCTTTTTTATTTTTGATGTAATTTCTATTGATTTTGCAGTCAATAAGTTGCTTTTCATACTGATAATATTGCAATTGTGAATGGGCAATTTATAGTCCAAAGCATCTGAAGGACCACAACAATCATGATTTTTCACTGCTATAGGGGTTGTACCTTCCCTCCAAATTTGAAGGGTCACAACTTGCCACTCCTTGTTCTAGGGTTTGAATAATGTCATGTGGTAAATGAACGTTGTTTTTATAATTAACTTTTTTTCTATAGGGCACAAAGAAATGGATATACTCCTTTCTTTTGATTAGGAGGCATGACATTTCCATGGGAGGGGTTCTGTTTTTGTACATCTATCAACCCTTTCCTGTTCATGCTTTAGTACAAGGATTTGACTTGGCTGCTTGGGTGCTTTACTGTTTCTGGCTGACTGATGCATTCTCTTTTTTTTTCCTTCTGAATGACTGCATGTTTGTGGACCTCTAAGGTGAAGCTGTCAGTTTAAAGTTAGGGGAAAGGAGAGATTGACAGGTCACATCTGTCACATCACATGCAGAGTAATGATGGTATACATTGATGTGAATCCCTTAACAATAGAGTAGGGCGGACACAGATCCTCTGTTTTGAGGGCAGCCAGTGGGGGCAAAAGCCTTGTCAGGCTCTGTGAGAAAGTAATGGGATCTTTCCTTCTTAAAACATTAGGAGAAATCACAGAATTAGAAGGGAAAAGAGCTGTGTTTGCAAGATAAAAATGATATCCAAGGAAGGGATAATTTCAGTCCACATTTTTTTCAGGCATTCCAAGCTGGGGTGGTGGTAAAGGAGGAAATTGCTGGATCCAGATCAGACAGCCCAACAATAACAACATAGTTTTCTGAAAGTACAGAATTTGTCTTTGATAGAAGCTACAGGGGGACTCACACAACTTCCCCCTCTGCTTATTTCTCTAAAATCTAGTAGTGTTTCACATACTTGATATCAGGGATCCTTACACATACCTTGTAAGATAGCCTAGTATTACCCATATCTGTGAAACATAACAGAAAGAGGACTAAAGGTAATTGTAGTGGATGCTCTGCAAGAGTATGCACCTCTGGGACTCTGAACTAGGGACTTTTTGACCAAAAGTCAACTGTAAAAAAAAGGGTTGTTTCTGCATCCACTATATAATTACTGGCTTTCAGTGCAATTCAGACCTTTCTTCATTTGTCAGGGTTTTAAGTTGTCTCAGTAAATTCCAGAAAGGCATTGATTGCATGTATGACAAATCTGAACAAAAACTGGAACTGTGGCACAAGAATTCCACGTTGGTAATTTGGCAACATTGTGCCAGTGTTCCTGCTAGCAACACAAAGCAGGATTGTGGCAGAAGACCTTTCTTAAGCCTCTGGGCTCTGCCACTAAATGACCCAAGATAGCTGCTGCTTTATTTTTCCTCAGCATTTTACTGCATTATAAAAAGGATTTTAGGGATGAAGCAGAGTACTTTAAACACCACATCACCATCTTTCTGTAGGCAGAGAAATGCTTCCTTCACTAGGGCATGGGTTTGACCCTTCACCTTGGGGATTGGTCGCTGGAGCCACACAAGTATTAGAGGAAACAACAGGTGAAATAAAATGTGGAGAGTTTACACAATTGATAATAAATATAGGCTGAGAGTTCACATTGAAAGATGTATTTAAAAATAAATATGGAACAGCTGTCTGAATTATTGGGTATTGTTGATGTTATGCACTGAAAATAAGTCATAGGCTCCACAGAGGAAAAATAAAATATATGATCATCTAATTCAGGACTGTAGAGTAGTTGACAACTTCTAGCCCAGAATTCTTCTGAGCTAATCTTTCCATATTTAAAAACATTTTTCATATGTGGCGCTTTTTCCCCCCTGCACTGGAAAATGTAGAGGTCAATCTATTCAGAGAGTGGTTTCTTATATTTTTATTCTATTTCAGCCAGTCACCATTTTTCTGTGCTTCAAAACAAGTGATCATAGAAGATGTATTGCTGGGGAATTAATGTAATACATTAATGTATTGCATTGGGGAATTAATGTAATACATTAATGTATTGCATTGGGGAATTAATGTAATGTAAGACACATAACTGTATATTTTGTGTGTTGAATCTATCCATAAGAATGCATACTTCTGTTATTTTTAATCTGAAGTTCCACCTGATTCTCGGGCAGCTCAGGATTTTGTGGCCTCTGTGGGATTGTCCCAATTGGCCTATCAGGCCAACACATGTAGCAAGACACATTATAGACTTTTTTCTTTTTCAGCTAGTGATAGAGACAGTGATCTGAAAATAGGAGACTTTGAATCAATACTCAGACTGGCTTCTGTTGAGCTTTAGATTTATGGCAGCTTTTCTCCTTCCAAGAGTGGGGAAACTATTATAATGTTCTGCCTCTGGAAGCTAAGGATCCAGATAATTTTCAGAGGACCCGGGTGGGTGCTGGCTTGTACAGGTGGTGCTCCTGTGGAAATGCTGTTGTAAACCACCCAGAGGGCTTTGTGCAGTACAGAAATAAAATGAAAAAATGAATGACACAGGCAGTTGACACAATTGTTCCTGAGTGTCCTCTCAGTAGTAGAGATTGTATGGCTTTCCAGTATACTTTGGAACTGAAAGTGATGAAACAAAACAGGAAGCAACGTGAATTATTTATATATTTATTTAAAACATTTCTATGCCGTCCCCATCGCAACAAAGCCTCGGGGCGGCTCACAACAAAAACAAACAAAAGCATATAAAAATTATACAATAAAAATATTAAAACCCGGTGCATCTCTGCTTAAAAATTTAAAAAACCTACATAATAAATTAACAATTAAAATAAGTTTTAAATAAAAAGGTCTTAGCCTGAGGAATTAAGAGGAAAACTCCCAGCAGATGTCATCAAACACTGGTAAATGCTTATAGTCAAGCATTTTCAGAGGCAGTTAAAGTGGCAAAGACCTCTCTGTGCTGTCACAGAGTTACATAGGGTTGTTTAAGGCTTTTTTTCCCCGTGCAGGTCCTAACACCATGACACCATGACTCCATCAAAGGCCTGGTGTAATTTGCAAGGCACTTCCAAGATACAGTCTCTTGGATCTTCTGGTACTTAGACTTCAGTGTGTTATTGCAGGCGACCTGCTTGCCCACATTTGATATAGCTTGTTGAAGCTGGTTTGGTACAACATCAGTGTTTGGTACAGCTTGATGATGATGTTCAAACTGCTTGAATGAGTCTACGCAGCAAATTCCATGTTTGGATTATAAAAATCAGCAGGAAGGGCACATCCAGCTGGCCAAGGAAGTGATTTAATGCCTCCACAAAGCTATCTGAAAGGGACAGCAAAGAGGCAAAAATCCTTCCTGGACTCAGGACATCTGGGCAGTTGTAAACCTTTTCTTCTTGGACAAGCTCCTTCAGAGGTGTCATCTAAGCAGCTCCAGATACTCTTGAATGGGACTGATTATCAGTTGGATTTCATGCCTGGTTTTGATCATCCTGTATGATGAACTATGTTAGAAGAGAAACAGAACAAAACCCTGTTGATTCTGCTTGATCTTATGGCAGCTTTCAGGCGCATCACTCATGTTATCCTTCTGGGACCACTGTACGACCTATGAGTGGGTGGACAGGACAGGACTGCATTTTCCTGTGGAAATATATATATATTCAGATTAGGACTGAGGATAAACAGTCATTGGACAAAACATCTTGGCTGAGGAGAAGCAATCATTCAATCAAACATTCATTAAATTGGTTCAGCTATTCGAGGAGAAACATTTTGGTAAAATAGGATTTCTCCCAACTTGGGTTTCCAAATAATTTTCCTGATCCTTCACCACTTGGAAGTCAGCCTTATTGAATTCAGTGGCTTTTTATCTGACTAGACATGTTATAGTCTTGTAGAGTTATTCTCTGCAGAGTTATAACTCAAACTCCTGCAAGAGCAACAACAAAATCCAAAATAAATGGCACACCTTTTAAACCTTTGAGTCAGCTTTGAATAGTGTCATTTGGAAGGATTTGTTTGATTGCTTATTTGTTTGCAAGACATTCTTATTTTAACAAAAATATATAATGGCACTGTGGCTTTATATATTTAACAAGCCAGTTTCAATAGCTGACCTATCTAAAGTTTGACGGGCATTTGCATCTCTCCAAAAAATGAGTTGTTTGAGTTACCCT